CCCGCAAAGCGTTCCATTGCAGCAACAAAAACAGCATCAACGCAACAACCAGAAAACAGGAAGAAGCACACGAAAAAGAAGCAAACGAAGAAGAAGAAGACCCCGCAAAGCGTTCCATTGCAGCAACAAAAACAGCATCAACGCAACAACCAGAAAACAGGAAGAAGCACACGAAAAAGAAGCAAACGAAGAAGAAGAAGAAGAAGACGAAGAAGAAGAAAAAGAAGAAGAAGAAGAAGCAGAAGCAGAAGAAGAAGAAGAAGAAAAAGAAGAGGAAGAAGAAGAAAAAGAAGAAGAAGAAGACAAAGACGTTGGGGGGCGCGGGGGGAGGGCACAGCGCCTCCCCACTCGTTCTAGCGCGTCGGCTGACCCTCTGCAGGCGCGGCGATGCTTCGTGCATGTCTGCCGCTCGATCGTCCGTCCCCCCTTCCTAAGAAGACCCCCGCCTTTTTCGGAAGAAGACCCCCCCCCCTTCCTAAGAAGACTCCCCCCCCTTCTACAGAAGACACCCCTCCCCCCTTTAAGAAGATCCCCCCCTCCCCCCTTCTAAAGAAGACCCCCCTCCCCCCCTTAAGAAGATCCCCCCCTCCCCCTTTCTAAAGAGACCCCCCCCTCCCCCCTTAAGAAGATCCCCCCCTCCCACCCCCTTATAAAGAGATCCCCCACTACCCCCCCCCCTTCTAAAGAAGATCCCCCCCTTAAATCCCCCCCCCCCCCTTCTTCTTTTTGAGCGGGGGGGGGGCCTGGGCCACAGGGTTCGGCAAAGACCCCCCCCCACCTTGAAGACCCCCCCATCCCTACCCTATCGATGCGGTCTGGGCATTCCGGTGAGCGTTTTTCGAAGGAAATGGTTGAAATGGTTGCATCTGTTAGAACAGGTGATTCTACGGTGATTCTAAGATTTCTCAGTGATTCAAAATGATGAAGAAAATTGGAGGTTGCAGGGTAGCAAGCCGTGGTCCTGTTCATGTTAACACCCCGATGAGTTTGTATGCGCCAACACGACGATTGGTTGCTGGTGCCCTAACAGCTTCAAGTAATAAGACACCAGGGTCTGCAAGGAAACGTCTTGCCCTGGAAATCCTGCCTGCCCATTAGAGAGTGATAGAGATACGATGAGATACTGCACTTCATAAAATCTCGGCAAATCCGTTCTGTTCCTTTTGCAGAAAGAGCGCTGCTTCGACCACATTCTGTTCGTTGTGATAGAATGCTGGAAGCTGGTGCTTCCACCAGGTCAGTCTGGACCTATACCTGATTCACTGCCGTGAACGACCAACTTCCTGGTGGAACAAAAGATAGCAGATCCATGAGCAGGCCTCGCTGATCATGAAAATGTATGAAAGTGTGATAAAGTACATTGCCACCTTAAAATCCGCCAAACTTTACATCAAGGCTCTGTGGCAAAGCCTCATGGTCGGATTTCGTTCGCATTTGAGTTCGCTGCCAACGCCTCACAACCTGCACAGCCTCCCACGTTCTGCCAGGAAGGACGGGAGACCCACTGGCACCAGTTCTCGCACCCAGTCATTGGAGCCACTGCAGTTCCTTCCGGAAGTCCTGAAGAGCATTGCCCGCACTCTGGGATGTACTGCCAGGCTGATACTGGGCTCCATCCACACCAGTTGGCACAGCCTCCTGTCCCAGAGGCACCAATAGCTGACCCGGTGCAATCGCCCACGTATTGCAAAGAGCCCAGAGGAACCCACTTGCACCAGTCCGGTCGCTGCATTTTCACCTTCAAGCGGGGGGGTGGTGGTTTTGTCTCTCCCGACTTAGCTTCAAGCGCCAGAGGTTCTTCGCACTTCATGCAATCTGAGGTGCTGTTCCACGATGGCCTTGAAAGCCACTGGCATGAAGCTTTGCAACCGCTCTCTGTTTTTGGAACCACCGCGGGAGGTGCTGCTGATTTGTAGTGACCGGAGTAGACTTGATAGCAGCTGCGGCATGCAGGAGTATATCCCCAAGATGGACCTGGTACCCACTGGCACCAGCTGGCACATGAGAACCCAGAGTAGCTCGGATATGCGTAGCCACTGCACTCCGGCACGTACTGCTGGGAAGCCAGTGGAACCCATTGGCACCAATTAGGCTGTGCAAGGCAAAGTGGTGTCAACAACAGAAGAGACAGGAACTTCATCATGTCAGAGGTCTCTGCAAAAATGCCAACTCCTTAAATGCTATGAGCCAAAGACTGCACCAAGCGTCAAGCACGTGCAAAACACAAGAGTCTGTCTGCACTCTGGACTTGACGTTGCCAATAGGACACAGTCAAAACCCCACGGGGGTGTCTACCTACCGTTGCATCGAAAACTTCAAGTCGTATCTGTCATCAATGAAAAAGGGCTATTTCTGACCATCCCGCTGTCCTGGGATTCCAAACATCCCCCTGTGAATCGAGGAATATGATCAGTTTCTTGGGAATCCAATTGGCCAACTCTTGATGGCACAGATATTCGTAGATGTTTCCTTCAAAAATCTGCATATTTCCAAACCCAGGTGTGATAAACTGATAAACCCGGCAAATCCCATATGTTTGCAAGCAAAATCACAATGTCTGATCCTAAAATCACCGGGGTTGCGTAAATTCGTCATCTTTCCACTTCTACACCTGATTTCCCATATTTTGGAAAGATTTCTCCCACCTTTCCCTCCCCATCCCCAGAGCCCCCCTGGTCGCAATTCCGGAAGGATCTGCGAGGAGAGCAAGTCGCGGATCCGCACCCGGCCCGTTCGCTTGGGGTCCTGCGAAACAGTCGTCACTGTCGTCACTGTCATCTGGTGCGGTTCTACCCAGGAATAAAGTAATGTACCAATGTACAGTCACTTAAGATCAGTTCATACCTAAAGTAACTCAAGAGAATCTGAACTTTTGCATCTTTCATGTACCTTAATCGTTTTGACATGTTTTGACTGTAAACTGCAGGCAGTTAGTATGTGGGCTAGTTCACAACTGCACTAATCCTACTTGCACTTCTGCCCGGGTTCTAACCACGTACTAACTGGGATGAGCCGCCAAGTACATTAATACACAATGAAAAATGGCCATGATCCCAAGATGTGTTCGGACACGGGTTGGTGCCTTGCAGTCCACTTACCTTTTGGGATTGTCTCAAAGCCAGCAACGAAACCTGTTCCAAACCCAGGGTTTCCTGTATATAAATGGATTGGTTTTAAGGGAAAATCTACAGGAAACCCTGGTTTACCATCAAATATAGGGCTTTCCTGTAGATTTTCTCATCATCCAATTCTATGATGTATATAAATGGATCTAGAAGTCTTTGTCTACTTAAAGTTTCTATCCCATCTGTCAGAGGGGAAACTCTATTCGTAGCTCCAACTGGCTCCCCATGACTAGTAGGCAATAGAGGGATACCCCTAGCTGAGCTCACCGCTCCCTCCAAACCATTGGATTTTTCCCCGGTTTAGAAAAAAAAAATACATGTCTGGGTCTGGGTTTAGCAGTTTAGAAAAAACCCAATGGTTCCAATGGGTTTCTTTATCCCGAGGGTTCTCGAAAATCCTAAATATGTCTATCCCCTGGTTCAGGGAAAAAAAAAATTGCCATTAGCCAATGGGCATCAACCCATGCCTATCCCTGTGGCTCGATCGTTCTATGGGACCATCGTTTAAGCTAACCCCCACACAGACGCAGGAACAGTTGGCGTCAGGCCAACTACATGTGTATATGATATATGGCCCTGATACATATGTATATGGAGCATATATATATGTATATATATATATATATGTATATATATAAGTATATATATATATGTATATATATATGTATATATATATATGTGTGTGAGTTGTAAGCGCTTACACCTTCTACAATGGACGCCAAGAATTCCTCACCCGGCCCACCCACCCATTTTTGCGCTCCAAGAAGAAAAAGAACTTCCGCACCGCTGTGAAGACATAGAAGGGATAGAACCTCGCGGCTAAAGAAAAGCGTTGCCCAGTGGGGTGTTCATCTTGATGCACGGCAATTGCATCTACATCTACATACTACATTAGTAGAATTTCAGAATAATCCATAGAAAAGATTATGTTTCTGCTACATATCATAGCAACCAGAAACAAAATCTAGAAAACTTGAAAAAGTTGGGGAAATGTTTTTCGGAAATAGGGAGGAAACATCATCGAACTATCCTGGAACGTTCCCTTATTTACTCCACTGATTGATGTTTTTGTCCATTTAAGGTCCTCTACTGTACTGTATCTATCGATGTATCTCTTCGTTGCATCTCTGTGCGTTTATATGTATGTATATATATATATGTGTATGTATATATATATATATGTATATGTATATATATATATGTATATATATATATGTATATGTATATATATATATATGTATGTATATATATATGTATATGTATATATATATATATGTGTAGATCTACATGTCTATATACAATTATATACATATAATATATATATATATATTTACTCATGGGTATGTGTGGATCTTTATGTACATATACTTTTTCTGGTTTCTTGCTCCACTGCCACCGGTCCATCCAATTTTGGGGTACCCGGTACCGGTGAGGTTTTCATCGGAAAAGGATCTACAAAAATGGGCCATGGTCCATGGCCATGGCAAACTTCACAGGGTAAACAGTTTTGAGCCACTTAAATTTTGACTGGCAAAAGATCTCCATTCCCACTAAAAGTGTGCTAAAATACATTCCATCCCATGGTCTACCATGAGTTTCCCCATCCCCCACTCTGGGACAAATCCAGCACCCCTCATTGATTGGTGATTTAGAATCAACGAAAATGGATATGGTTTTTCCGGTATACCCAAAAATTAAACCTACCATTTGAAAACTGCTTCGTATCACCCATTTCGGGCAAATTTAGGGATTGTTTTTCTTGAGTTTATTATTCCCATATTGTATACAGTATGTATACATATATGGGGATGGGTCAAAACCCTGGTACCTAGTGAACCCCAAAATAGCTGGTAAATGGATGTTCATCCTACTAAAAATGTATCTATAGGTATTGACCCATACCCATATCCCAAGATATCACAAGATATTCCCATTCTTCATGATTAAGAATCCAGTTCTATTGCCCTCCGCTAATTCCATGGCTGGGAGAAAAAAAAACAAACAATTTAGTTCGATGATTTTACCATTAAAAACATCCATTATGAATCCATTCCTACTGATGCTTCTGCCGAACTGAGCGTGCGAACTCCTCTTGAAGAGTGTTCAACTGCGGCCTCAGGGCAACTCCAAAATATGCACAAAGAACTGATGAGAGAATAACACCTACGCTTGAAATAAAAACAAAGGGGGGCGTTGCAGCCTGACTGGGGTCAAAATGCATTTTTATTGGCTCAAGACCAGTTTGTGCCACTAACCGTGAACGACAGTGCTAAAGAAAAAGTCTCCGGTGTCCACTCTTTACGGGGCCGGCCTATTCTCCTCAAATAACGAGATGTAGCCGCAGTGTATGTACCAGACGCAAAAGAGACTTGTCGAAGTGGGTGGTTTGGGTTACAGCGCAAAATCTTCCCCAGGTATAGTCGTTGCTTACTTTCAAGGATTTTGGACCCTGAAATGCACTCCTTTGCAGCACTGCGTTCGATCTTCTGGAAAGGATGGCGCTATTCCCAGGACCGCAAGCATCTGTTCTGGAAACCATCCATGCGACGCTTTTCCTGTTTCGTCAGGACCAATGAGCACAAGCTGTAAAGGAGTCTTGATTCGACTAGTGACTACAGCCTTGAAAATTTCCAATTTTTTTGGAGCGCTGCAAAATCACCTTTGGCAATACCAATGCGTCTAGACAACTCATTTCCATGTTTACCATCTGCTATTAGCATTGTGCGCAAATACAGCAAGGAATTTTGTGTTTCTATGCTCTGGCTGTTCCGGAAAGCTCCCCTTGAGGGCACATGGTGCATCAAAACAGACATAAGAATCACAAGAGTAAGGTGACTTAAGGTGCAGCCTTGGGAAATTCCCAAGTTTGGGTTGCAATGGAGAGGTTTCACCAGAGTCTGTAACAAAGAAACGCCTGTCTCGCATAACCGCACTCATCATCGGAATGAAACCTTGCGGCAAACCAAAGCGCGTAAAGAAAACTATCAACATGCACACTGTCAAATGCGTTCCTCCAGCCCAAAGCTAACAATTTGATCTGTCCGAACCGGCCCGCACAGGCATTTTGGTTGATTGTGGAAGGAAAAAGAACTGCAAGAGCGGAAAAAGAGACATTTTGGGTGTTTGTGGAAGGGAAAAGAACCCCTTATTAAAGGATAGAAACCAAAAAAATGATAGCAAAGCTACTTTCCAATTCCTTTCTGAATTCCGAGAAATAGAAGAGTAACTCGAAACTTGTCTGAATCTATATGCTGGCTACTACAGTAAAGAAATGGGGGTCGACAAGAAAAAAAGAGGATGTTTCCCATCAACGATGAGGGCGTTAGGCAACGTTTCAACCGGGGATGGTAGCCAGCACAAGTCAGGGTTTCTCCCAACACCCCAGATACCAAGAGAAAAAATTGGCTTTGGCTATGGTCATTGGATACCTCCTTTTGACACGGTTTTATCGGATCCCCAATTAATTTGAGCAACAAGACTGGGCATGTTGGATCGGTTTTGAAGCAACAAGTGAAGTTCAAACATCCTCGCAACTTACAAAATTGCAAGTGGTGCAATTTTGTGATACTTCACTGGAAAAATCTGGGAAAAGATCCTCGGTGCAAAACCATGTATGGAGCTTCATGCCCAGAAAAAGGCTGGTATCTATAGGCTACATGATATGGAAAACCTATGATATCCCCGTTTAAAAAAGAAAATGGAAATGGTTGATTTTTCACATCTGTGTTAGTTTACCCTAGGGTATTTATAGGTATTGATCCACAGCCAAATCACAATCACTTCTGAAGTTCTTGGGGCATTGTCTATGTACCACAGAACCTCCTGACCACGGATGCCAAAAGACACACAAAAATCATCCACAAAAAAAAACACTCAGACCTTTATGTGAATCACATGAATGTTACCCTTTTCTGCTAGTAAACCAGACCATTTTGAGGCTTCCCCAGTAAGAAACGGCGCCGCGAATCCGCCACTGACTGGGCGTCCTCACAAGGTAGGGATCATCTCAAAAATGAAGTTCTCCATGTCCTGGCCCCCAGATCCATGAAGATCTCGGAATCTGTGGGAAATGATGTACCCTCTGGTAAACGTTTACATAACTATGGAAAATCACCATTTTCAATGGGTAAATCCACTATATATGGTCATGTTCAATAGCTATGTTAGTTTACCAGAGGGTATGTGGGCCCCCATACAAGCCCTACAAGTTCCAGGACTCGGCGCCAAGGTCAGGCAAGAAATGCTGCAACTTTTTGTTGGGGGAAATGGATGGCAGCTTCATGGTTTCATCCGCCATGACCGGGGTGCAGTTGGGGTGACCTTTCCGGGGAGATGGTGAATTCAGCTGGATAAGTTGGGATATGGGGGCCCTACGGCATGGTCACATATCTGCAATAACTGGAACAGAAAACCCCCAAGTAGTGTTCTCACATTTGGACGGCTGGCTTTGGGGAACAACACTCAAACAGCGGTTTTCCAAATTTAGGGATCCCTTAACACTGATATACCCATTGAATAACAAAAAACACATGCAAGTGTATATATTGTGTAGGTACATATTGTGAATATACACATCTGTAAGTCATATATATATATACATGTACATATATTGAAATTTCCTGAAATGGGGGTACCCTTAAATCATCCATGTACAGATCGGTTTTTCCATCATAAACCATACATTTTTGGGTATCCCCATTTCAGGAAACCTCTATATATTGACTGTATAGTATATAGTATACATATGGAGATACCCAAAAATGTATAGATATACATATATATATATAAGGTATAGATACCTCTCTAGCATATATTGTATACATATGTAAGTGTATACTGACTGCTTTGATTCAAATTGTCATGTGTTTTTCTCGCATCCAACTCGTTGCCGCCGTCAACATCTGCTGGATATAAAATGTTAATGTGGTAAATTCAATAAACCATCCCCAATATTGCCAGAAATGTGTGGGTACTAGCAATCCAAAACTTGGAGTTTTACTATTAATGGGTGTACCACTTTGTATGGATATTTTAAGCGTGGGGTTGACGGAAAATCATGGCAAATCTCATCAACATTCCGACTAAAATTAGGGCAATTATACCATATACTTCCATTTTTGGGGGAAACCCCCCGTATATGGTTACCAACCATTGGGTGACATCAGAATGAATCATATTACCCTGCTAATATTTCAGGATTTAGCCAGCTAGTAACACCCAAAAACATGACGAAAACGAAACTAATTCTCGAGTTCAGAACTTGGCAAAATTTGCATTTTGTGGGATTTACCGACCAGTGGAAATACAACAATGAAGGATACAATGGGTATATTAACCATCAACAGTTGATAAATGGCAATGGTATTGGTGAGTACAGAACCAGCTAACTAGCAATCAAGACATCACCCAGCTCCGGTCACCTTCTCTCGCAGATACCCACAGCCCAAGGCATCGTAATAGCTCAGTTGCACACGCGTTTGCCGCAAATTCACCTGCTCGTTGCGCGTTGCGGCAGCGCCGAGACATGGGAAAGAACAAGGAACGAGATGGAGACATAGAGGATATATGAGACTGAACATATGGGAAGACAATATATACAACCAGCCAGTATATGAGTATATGATATTAAAATGCAAAAAACGGGATCATGGGGTCTAGAATTGCTTTTGGGGATTGGAGATCTAGATTGCAAATATATATATATGCATACTTACATGTGTATGTATATAATATTTAAAAACAAATACATCTATTTAAATAAACATATACACATATACATATCAATAAATTTACAAATTTCAAAACATAAGAAAACTAAAAGAACATATATATATACACATATTTTCTGTGTCTTTATATACATACATATTTTGCTTCAACTGTCATGTATATGAATCAAAACACAAATATATATTTTTTTCGGTATCTGCTATCAAACTGGACAAAACCCACTACCCACCTATGAAGACACCTACTTGAGGGTGTTCCAGTGAACGAAGTGGAGATATTTCCGACTGTTTTCGCGGCCCCGCATCCCAATTTATGGGGCAAAATCAGCAGTGTTGTACCCATAGAAATAAACTCAACTGCACTCTCAAGTACCACCCCCCAGTAACAGACGGTGTAAAAACCCTTTTTTAGTGGTTGTCAGTGGTTAACAAACCCACAAAGCCCATTAAAAAAGTAATAAAATAATGACCTCACGTGGATTTCTTACTTATCAAGTAGAAGAACCTTGAAATAATCGCTTCAATAAACCACAAAGCCATTATTTTCAGAAAACAACCATCCATGCGTCTCTTGTTTCCGTGCCTTTCTCACCACAAAGGTAAAGAAGGGCACGATGGCAATGCAGCCGCTGGGGTCCCGGGGGAACTTCAAGAAACTCCTCGGAGTCGTTCGAGTCGCGAGTCGTCGAGGTGGAGTCGGCTGGTGATCTGGGTATTTTTCACGAACACTGCTTGGTGGTCCAATACCGTAGGAAAATGGAGGTTTAAATGGGAAAACCCATAGGAAAACCATAAAAAATGGAGGTTTAACCTCTGGTAAACTTACAAAAAGCTACGGAAGCCATGGCCCATAGAAATAGCTGATTTACCATTTTCATAGCATGGTGATGTCCCATGGTTATGTAAACGTTTACCAGAGGGTAATCATCTTGACACCAATCATAATTATGGATGATAAATAAAGGTGGATCCATTAATTATGGTTATTCATATAATATCATATAATTATACAGAATTATGACATTAACTGGTTGGTGGTGCAATAACCATCTTGAAAAATATGAGTTCGTCAATGGGAAGGATGACATCCCATAATATCCCATATATGAAATGGAAAATACAATTCATGTTCCAAACCACCAACCAGATATTGATGGATAGTATGTTTATTCAATGGATTGGTTTAAGAGAAAATCTTCACCAGAAATCATCGATTATCCCATTAAATAAAATTAAATATGGGAGATTCCTGTAAACCAATCCATTGAATAGTATGGCCTCTGGTAATCGAACACTTTCATAGACTTTGCCAACTAAAAAAAAATCACCATCGATAAGTCAATCATCGAACTAAATGACCATGTTCCATAGCTATATTAGTTTACGGGAGGCTACAACCAACAAGATGGATATTGATGGATATCTTCATGGGACATAATTGTTTCACCATCAACCGCTGAGGTTCTACAGAAAAACCACCAACCCCCCGAGGGGATATTGACAGTAAAGTCATCTCCCCCTGACTTCATGGCCATGGGGCTGTCTGAGCTGCGAAGCTCAAATTTCGCGAAAATCATAAGGAAGATGATACCCATATTTTTTCTGATAAAAAACTGGCCTAAAATTGCTGGTATATCACCCATCAAAATATGGCTGCTTTATTTATAAGTGCTTTACTTACATGACCTAATTTTCATGAAAAAAATCTGAGCTTCTAGTATGTTCAATTTTTTCTCTCCCAAAATTACCCCCATTCTTCACAAAAAAAAACTCACTCAGGTTCCATGGGTCAAAAATCCATCGACTTCCAAAACTCAGTGTTTTGTCCCTTGTTTTGGGAGTCGATTGATTGGATATTCCCTATGGATTGATTGGATATTCCCCATGATATCCATGGAAAAAATCCACTGCCTGGATTTTCCCCATCTTCCAATCCAATCCATGGCCCAAGGCGCGAGGGCACCAAGTATTGCTTGAAGCGCTCCCCTCGCTTCAGCAGCTCCTCGGGGGCAAGTTTCACATCTCTTTTTTTGGGATATGTGTCCGATGTTCCTATGAAAATCTTGATGTGTGTCCCAGATTTGTTCCCAACAAACAAATCTGTTGTGATCATATTTGGATGTATTATGTTTTTTCTCCTAACAACTGGAAATATCATCAACCGACTTGGGACTACACCGGATAATCTGGAAATCCTGGGGAAATTCTGCATCGGCGGGATTTCTTTACAAATAAAGACGCAGGCGGTAAATCTGTAGGCGTAGAGAAGTCTAAATGTATGGATGATGCATAGATGTGTTGGATGTAGATGTAAATGCAGATTCATGTGAACTACAGTACTTCTATCCTGGTTTTTCTTCAGAAGGTTAACTGGGTTAAACCTTCCAAACATTTAGTAACAAACAAGAAATATATCCATCAAAATGGCGACCGAAACCATGAAAACCTGCACTGTGGCTACCGTGAGTTGAACCGTCCATCGCAACAGCTGGGCATTTCGTCCCGTCCCAAGCGCCTTCCGAATGTCGCAGAAGGCCTGGTAGTCAATGACCTCCAAGAGGTGACCCAGTGACCCATCATCTGAGTGACTTGGCCAGAGTTTCCCTGGAAAGTTCATAGGAAAATGTTGGATTTTACCCACATAATATGGGAAAGCCCACTATGAGGATGCTGAATACAAGAATATCTTGTCGAACTTGGAAGATTCATACTACAAATGACCCCACTTTCATTGACTCGGTTGAAGAGAAAATCTACATGAAGCCCTGTACCATGCAAAGCTGAGGATTTCCTGTCTTCCTGTGAACCCAATGACTCAAGACCCCCTTAATGATGGTTCACCCCCATTTTTTGGTTTGCTGAATCCCAATTCGTGTCCAATTTTTTTTTCGGAAAATGACCATGTTTGTTGATGAATTCCTCCTTTGTTGGTTGCATCCCCAGTTCTGCGTGTCAACGTGATCAAAAACGGATGGAACAGACATTGAAGAATGATCCACTATGACAGAATACCATGGAATATGCACAATTTTTTCCAATTGTTGGTTCCCAGATTTTTCTGGTTCCCAGTTCCCTCCATGTTCCTCGACTCGCACCTCCACGTCGGATTGATCCCTGTCAGTGGATCTGCGGGCATGCTCCTGGGGCGATTGGTCAGTTGAAAGCAGCGCAGCTGACGCTGCTTTCAACGCTCGCCATGAAAAGTGTTTCCCCTATATCCCCCTATTCAATCCTATTTAAAGTCATTCAGATGTGTTTTTTCCGTTTCGATTGGCTGACCCAATTTTGTTGATCTGTGTTATTTTGGTTGTCTCAAGGATGGACAGCCAGGACTTTAGATCTCCCCATGAAATCATACGGTTTTGGGCCCAGACCCAGCAACAAAGAGAACACTGGTCCTCTAAGGCTAGGGGCAATGAGTTGAATTGTGCATGTGAAGCGGCGAAACAGGGATGCAAGCAGTGGATTTCTGTGATGTAAGATGATGTAACCAATAAGAGCTGGTGGAAAGCAAAATAAAATCCTGGTGCCACAAGCAAAGAAGCTGCTGACCATGATAATCATGATGGTCATGATGATGATAATGGTGATGGTGGTGAAAGTGATGATGGTGATGATTGCGTTGATGCTGATAACGGAGACTGATTATTGGCGATTGATGATCGATGAGTGATGATTGATCATGATGATGGTGATGATGATGATGACGACGCTGATGATGATGATTATGATGACAATGATGACAATGATGACATTGATGACGATGATGACGACCATGGTGATGATGATTGTTCTGTTATCATCATGGTGATGATGGTGATGGTGATGATGATGATGGTGATGATGGTGATGATGGTGACAATGACGATGATGATGATGATGATGATGATGATGGTAATGATGCTGATGATGATGACGATGACGATGACGATGATGATGGTGATGATGATGATGATGATGATGATGACGATGACGATGATAATGATGGTGGTGATGGTGATGATGATGATGATGATGATGATGATGATGATGAGGACGATGACGATGACGCTGATGATGATGATGATGATGATGATGATGATGATGATGGTGATGGTGATGATGATGATGATGACGACGATGATGATGATGATGGTGATGATGGTGATGGTGATGATGATGATGATGATGATGATGATGACGATGATGGAGGTGATGCCGATGATGATGATGATGATGATGATGATGATGATGATGATGATGATGATGATGATGATGGTGATGATGATGCTCATGATGATGATGATGATGATGATGATGACGATGATGACGATGATGGAGGTGATGCCGGTGATGATGATGATGATGATGATGATGATGGTGGTGGTGGTGGTGGTGGTGGTGGTGGTGGAATTAAGAAGACTACACTGTACACTTGTTGTAAGGAACAAAGTTCTACGTATGATTTGGGCTTGCACCCAGCCGATGACAGTGCATAGTGAAGCCTGTATCTTTAAAACATGCCAAAATGGTCACTATCTTGGCAGCGGCACTTAGAGGGAGATTACCCAGGGTATAGTACGCAAACCGCATCTTTTCTGTAAAACCTTGGATATGGTGAGTATATGAGTTCAGATTATGTCCTGCCTTCTTATTGACTTTTTACATAACTTTTTTACTGACTTTTTACATAACTTTTACGAGCACCCCGCCAGTGACACCAAATTGGGGTCATCTTGGGGACATGAAAATTGTCCAGTATTGGAAGGTATTTATCCACCACCCCCAAACTTCTCAAGCTTGGGAGGCTCCAAAAAACACAGCAAATCTAGTCTTAAGAATGTTTACATTATCTTAGATACCGTGCATAACTTTGTTGAGTGGCTAGCCCGTAGCTCCATTTAAAAAAAAAAAAACACATAACCCATTAAACCCTCAGAAGCAAGGCTTATTCCATGACAAATTGTCCAAAAAAAACGTGTGGTGCTAAGATTTTAGGTTCTGCAACTCTGACCCCAAGGCAACCACAACCTCCAAAACATCACCAAGTCCCACCTTCAAGAGCGCCAAGATAGCATGCAGGTCCTATGGGCTGAACGGTTGGCTCTTGGCCCACCTCCTACATGATGGCCACAAACAGGCCAGTAACCTCCAGTTTCGGATCAATGCAGCAAAATGACTAGATTTTTTAATAAGGTGGTAAACCCAAGAATAAACTATCCCAAATTTTAGTTTGTTTTTGGATATAGCCCTGGTTGGGATGATTTACAATGGTCCCAAATGGTTGCTTGATGGGAAGGTTTATCATTGGGTTTACCACATTACACATGCTACTGTGCAAATACAGCACACGCATCCTGATGTTTCGTATTCTGATGACCAGCTTAAAGTGCATCACAATCCGAAAGAATTCGGTTTTGCGGGTGGCATGTCATGTTTTCTCTATAACATTTTTGGCTTTTCTTCATTGTATCCTAATGTATGAAGATGTCCATCCCTAGTTGGAAATATCCCGATTTCATTTCTGAACTCCGCCGCCGAGAAAGGCGGCGAATGCGTGTTATGAAGCAATCAGAGAATCTGCCCATCCTTCTTGGTGGTATGGATCTCAACTGAAATTCATGTTCAACAACAAATCAAAATCCTGTGTCGGACTGCGCTGGTTGGTTCATAAGGACTCCCCGCATAGATTGTGATAATCCCCAATATAGGTTACCCTCTGCTAAACTAACTACATAACTATGGAAAATCAGCATTTTTAATGGGTAAATTCACTATAAATGGCAATTTTCAATAGCAAACTGTTTGTTTACCAAAGGGTAATCCCCAATATAGATTCATATAATCCCCTATAATTATCAACCACTCCAGATACTGAACACTTTAGATGGACCTGCCATTCTTAGCTGTACACCGTTCTACATGGTGATATCTAATTTTTGTCATCAGTAAACCATCCCCAGTTGTCCAATTCTACTCCCTTTTCTTGCGGTAGTCAATGCCATATGGTTGTCAACCATCCCCACCCATTCTTAGTCTTGAACCATCCTATTGTTTTTCCAATACCCCATTCCAAATCCTACATACACCGCCGAAGATGAATGGCTAGAAATTTCCCCATGGCAAAAGGTCAGTTCGTATCCATCCCGTATCGTCTATTCCCTATACTTGGGCCTAAGTGGGTAATCACCATATTATAATCTAGCCACGCCCATCACAGGGCATCCCACGTTACTATCTTATAATAAAATTATGGGTGTCCCGTGTGTTGTCCTAAAGTGATGGACTCTAAGTTAGAATGCATCGCAAGATCACCAAACCAAAATTGATCCCCAGAGTTGGATTGGGTGGGGGGTTAAGAGTTAGAACGCGTAAGCAAGTTGGAATTCCAAGTCTGGTTTTGCAAGTTAAAAATGTATGTATTATGTTTTTCAAAAAGTAAATGCATGCTACGAATATTATTGTATTCATACTTGATTATGCTAGGTTAAATATCTTCTATTGTATTATATTGTATTTTGTCAAATGAAATGATACCATATTGTACTATATTGTGGTATATGATACTATATTAAATTATATTGAATCATGTTATATTATGTTGTGTTGTGTTGTATTGTATTTGTATTGTAAAGGTATTGTATTTCGACATATGCAATTATTCTCTGCTGCATAAAATGTATGATATGATAATATAATATGTTGTATTGAAATGTATTTTATTGTCATACTTAATTAAATTCTAGTGTATCATCTTATGTTTTGTATTATCCTACATTATATTCTCAGTTTATTTCCACTCGCATTTTACTATATAAAATATTTTAACATATTAGATTACATGGTGTTACATAATGCTATTGAATTACATGGTATTAAAATATATGATATTAGTGTATGACATCAAGTTTTTTGACACTATATAATACTAAATGATATGATATCAATGTGCATCAAATTAGATATTGTATAGTCTTAATTATACTATGCTATGTTATATTCTATCACCTTATTTTATGATATATCTTCTAATTAATATCACATTTTACTATGATATACCATACTGAAATAGCTAAAATGTATATTTACAATACACATATGTATATTGTATATACTGTATGAAAGTTTAACCATCTGTTTTATGTATTTTAGCAAGACTATGTTTCTTGACGACGTTTGTGTTGTACGTGTCTTGGATGAATCTGACTTTGAATCGCACTCTTTCACTACCGGTGATCATATGCGTGATTTCTCCCAGAAAGTTTGCATAACACAACTGTTGACGTTAATATTTCGTGAAGTCATCAACTGCTTTCTTGACGGAATGCCGCTCTCTTGAAAAGGACTACTATTTCTGTGGGGAAAAAACACATTTGTTCCAAAATACTTGCAAGACATGATGCACTCTTTTTAAAGGAATGCTGTGCACATCTCAGGGCCCTGCTTCAAAGTAGTCATACACTTTATCAGAGGAATGTTGTCCTCTCGGTAACGTTGCATGGAGGTATGCCACAACTTCCTCAATTAATTCCACGTTCTTTTAAATGATAACTTGTGAGAAGCATACTGCTGCCCTTAAATTCTGAGCTGATACTATGTTTTAAAATCCGTTGCCCCTCAAGAGAACAGCATGCTTATCCTTACAAAACGATCCAATTTCTTGAGATGCAGGGAACTCTGTCAGGAAGATGCAGTACCGCTCGGGGACAAAATCAAACCTCCTATCAAACAAGAGTGCTGTTTCCTCTTGTTCACGCTTGCTATAAAGACATGCAGCATAAAAGCAAACGCCGCCGCGCGGCGCACCCGGTCAAAATTGAATTCCATCTCTGTGATTTCATTGGCTCAATACAATCTTTCAAGGCAAAAACGGCTCTCTTGCTGCAAAATTCTACCAAACTGGATCTTCCCGGCTGATTGACGGGTCTGCTTTCAGGTCCTTGTAGTTTATTGTTGCCTGATGTGCAAACACATGACACACATCAGGTAAAAACCAAGGCTCTTCCACAATACATACCTGTAAATAGCCCTACAATTGCTGCTAAGCCTCCAAACTAAGACAGACATAAACAGATGCTTGAAGGGACGCATGTTCTACATTATTCAATACATAAAACTTGCACAAAAGCGCGCTTCCACAAAGACTTAGACTGCAGGAAAACGTTGAGCATACCTCCGACAGGAAAATTAGTTGAAGAGGGTCAATAACATGAGTAGAAAATCAATGCAGCTCGGGCTCGCTTCCTAGACAGAGGGTGGGGGAATAGGAATAGGTAGGTAGGTAGGTAGGTAGAAAGGGAGAGAGAGGGAGAGAGAGAGAGAGAGAGAGAGCGAGAGCGAGAGCGAGAGCGAGAGGGAGAGGGAGAGGGAGAGGGAGAGGGAGAGAGAGATATTTTAAAAAAGGACGCCCTCACTATTCCTTGCTAAAACAAAAAGTTACTTCCACTAGCTTTCGTGATATCGATATTTCAGCCCCAGCGGACTTGGATACTTCCTACAACGATCACTGTCCTGGGAAACACAGACAGGGTCATTCGTTGTTTGAACCGGGTGCTGGTGAAAGCCTTCAAACGCTCCTAGCACTTACCCCATCCATCGCACTTACTGCCGCTGACCCATCACGGAAACTGATGCGCAAAGAACACAAACAAGGAAAATCTTGGGGAATAATAGTGATTTGTCGGAAAGTCATTGGACGGAAAATGTCGGTGCGAAGGTTTCGGTTGCGCTCCCAAGTTTGATTTTTCCATGTGTTTTTTAAACAATAAATTTCCCCTTTTTGTTCCCATTCGAAGACGGCTAAATGGCAGCGGATCGAAAATGCAACAAATTTTGACCAGGTTCCTATTTTTTGTCTCGCTTTTTTAAATTTCAGCGCGTGAAACACTGGGAGCCGCCTGCTCCTCACCATTCTCGCTTTCATCAAGCTCGGAGGGAGCGACAGAGTCCGTACCCCCTTCGGCGAATACAAGGCGGTCCATTTCCGCCTACAACTCTTGTTGAAAGTCCTGCCATGACAAGTAAAAGGAAGAGGGGAAGAGTTGTAACAAGCCGTCGGAGATCAGAAAACCATCCTATGACTATGACCCAAGAATGACACTGGCAAGAGACGCAATCAGTGTGGGGGGGTGGGAAGCCAATGTACCAGATACAGGCAACAAAAGCTGTGGAACAGTAACAGATGAGGTTGGGCATGACCGCAACTGCGGGCCTGCTGTGCAATTCTATCCAAAGGGGCCCACGAGATTTTCATACAAGAACTTCCTTTGAGCATCCGAAAAACAACTTTCATACAAGCACCACTGCATAGGATCGTCAAGATCATTCAAGATCTTAATGCAAGGACCTCTTTGAGGAGGATTCCGACAGGATCTCCACAAGATCCTCTCACAAGGACCTGTGCCAGATCATGTAAGGACAGCTAAAGGATTTCACCGGGACCTCCTCAAGAGCCTCTCACCAAGACTTGCACAAGATCATGCGAAGGCCGCTGACAGCATTTCACTAGGATCTCCACAGGATCTTCGCAGAAGGAAATGTAAAAGACTTTGAGCAGTATCTTCGTGCCAGGACCTCGAAGAGAATCCCACAAGATCGCCTTCAAAGGACCTGCTGCTGCTGGAGCGGACCTCACAAGAACTTGATACAAGAACTTCGACAAGAACCACCCAAGATCCTCCCACAAGAGCTTTCATACAAGCACCACAGCGAGCTACCACAAAGGAAGGAGCAGCGAGTTATTTCACTGGAACCACTTGGAAAAATCAATCATGTTTTTTGCGACAGATGGCGGGCCAGGTGACGAGCCGGGTAAAGGTGGGATAAGGTGGGCCAAGGACGTTCATGTTCACTTGCACATACATTCATCTGCTGCAGGGCTTGTCGTTGCCTTTGCTGTCACTGTTGCTTTTTGTCAAACAAACAGGATAAACTACAAGTTCTCTGGTGGCGACTGGGTCACGGGTCAGCCAAAGCCGCTTTGTGAAACTTTTGCTAGCGCATTGCTAGCAGATCTAGCCAGTAAAATTACATACAAATTTGCAAATTTTGAGCCGCAACCTCAAGCATATAGGAAAATTGTAGCA